AACCCAATACATTTGGTAATTATTTCAGCTGTTATAGTAATGCAATGCACTCATTTTGTTGATTAGTTTTCTGTGAAAGTTTATGCTAAAGTACAAACTTTCCTTAGTTAAGAGAAGGTGGAAGGCAGCACTGCAATTTCAGATTCTTGTGTATTACTTTAAATATCATCTTGAGGAGAAAGAAACAGTAAAGATTATGAATGTGTTTCCTGTTGTTTTATGTAACTCATAAAGTACTAGGAGAAATAGTTCTGTATTTTAAAACAAAGGTAACAAAAGAACAAACTGACAAATTAAAAGTTGACATTTCGTGCAAAGAAAAATCTTTCACTCATATTTTCTTTGAGTTAATTCTTTGGAGCCAGACTGGAACCAGATTATGATGCCTAACATGATATCTTAATTAGAAGAAATAATAATGATTTTGTGTTGCCTCTACACTAAGAAAATACCAAGTGAAGCCTTAGGAAAGGATTAGGAGTGTATTATATAGCTAAAGTGGTTAAAGGGCATGAGTGATTCAGACCTACACGGAGCAAGTGTTGATCTAGTTCAAGTGTTGATCTCTGTTACACAATAACTCAGTTGGAGGTGCAACGGTCTGCTTTATATAAGAGATTGGTTAGGTAATTACACTGGCTCCTGCTCCGCTCCTTTTTATTGTACGAGTTTTATCACTCATCTTGTCCTTCCTGGCTATTTTTTCAAACTGATATTAAATCATCAGGTATTATAATTTTGCATGGATTCAGTATTTTTGGATGACTGCTCTGATGCATCTCAAGATGCACACGTTTACAGAGGCAGCTGCAAGGCTGTCCTAGCTGTGACAGGGGCACAACAGTGACCCACAGAGTGCTACTTCTATGATGTCATCTATAAGAGTTTTTAGGACCTTTTCCCCAGGAGAAGATTTTTAGATAAAGGTGGTGCTTTTAGTTAGACTGACTGGAAAAAGCCGTTGCTAGAAAAAAGCAGACAAAGTTCTTGAAAGATCTGTTTTTGCTTTTTCCCACTAATACAATTGAGCTAATAAAAGGTACTACTTCCATCTACAAATTGTGTCCTTCTTATGTGTAGGCCACCAAAATCTGTTTATGGCTACATCGAAGAATTGCTTAGTTTCATTAGGTCATTTCTACATACTATTGTAAAAATCTAGTGCATAACTTTAACAATGCAATTTTTTTTTTCTGAGTGTCCCTCCTTTACACTCTGCTTTCAAAGGATGAGAAACTAAATCAGTCTTAATTTCCTGGCCATTGAAAGGAAGAAATCACCTTATTAAGAAAGCTATTTTTTCTCTTAGAAATAACTCACAAAAGGAAAATT